CCACTTCAGTAGAAAGCAGTATTAAATATCTGAATATTAGTATCTTAGCTTCTTCATCAGCAGTGGCTTTTTTAATAGATAGACAAGAAAGAAGAAAAAAGAAAGGGAAAAAAGAAGGAAAGGAAAGAAAAGTTACAATGTAATGGAAAAAAGTGAAAGAAAGAATTGATGATATGTGAGATATATGTCAAGAAAACAATACAATACATCCTTTTAATTAATTTACAAATTGAGCAGTCATGGAGAAGAAAATGAAAATGCAATTTGAATTATTTATTTATAATTTTATTTATGACTCAAAAAAATGCAGATTTATGTTGAAAATGAAAAAGCACTTCAATTAATCCATTTTAATTTTGATTCACAATTGTTTCCATACTTTTCTTCTTTGTGAACTAAAACTCTATATTCCCATGTTCCTTGAGTCCCTTGAATGTAGCAGGGGGTGGAGCTAACCTGCAGTAAGCCCGCCCCCTGCTCCGCTGCTTTCTTTTCCCAACGCTGATGTGTACCTAACGTCAACTTTACAGCTTGTAAAAATGTTCAACTTCGTGTCCAAATTAATGCTGCTTTTTCTGCTGGCCTTCCCCTGCGGACTAATATCAGTCGGTAAGTACTTTTCCCGCTTCAAACCAGGTCGTTTTTGTTCGTATTTACTGTACACAAGCTTACTGACGTGGCATAGCGCTGCCTGAGGAGCCTTCATGGCTGCATGGACTACTACTAATACTACTAATACTACTAATACTACTGCTACTGCTACTACTACTACTACTACTACTACTACTACTACTACTACTACTACTACTAATAGTACTAGTACAGGGTTGTATACGTCAGTATTAAATCCATAATATCTCGATAATAACTCGTCTCTGACTGAATGAATGAAAATGTTCGTCGGTAACTGTGTTTTTAAGCACCCACAGTAAAACAATCTTGTTCCTTGCCATCTTTGATGGATATTGAATTTCTCCAGACTTTCGTAGTTTCTAATGGTTAAAACACCAACCAGCTACTCTCTCCTGCTGGGACACGTCACCACAGTGGGGACCCTCTGATTACTGGGGTCTGCTGGTTTCTCTGTCCACTAACTCAAATTCACATGTTGTTTATCACAAAATTCACCTTTTTTTTAGTTGAAATGTCTAATCCCTGTAACCAAAAACAGCTTGAAGTTGATTAGCTGATGAGACAGAAGAAGAAAGGAACAGTGTGGACAACACAGCGTCTTATTTTATTTAGAAACAAAGCAACATGACGGTAAATTTCATGTCTGTTTTCCCAAACTTTACCTGTATTTTCATATTAGCTCGTTTGGAAACCATCTGACAAATATCCTAACATGCAGGTGACAATATGTCAGAGATTTGTTACAAAAATATGCACAAATGTAAAAAAAAATGCATTCATAAAAATGACTTCTACAAATGAATGAGGTGAAATAATCTTTATTCATCTGCTGTAACCTCTCTGCTGTCCTCTCGCTCTGCAGCCCACGTCCGTGCTGATTCTGTGGAGGACTCCGTCGAGGACACAGATGCTGCGGTCGATGAGGAGAACGAGGATGAGGACGAGATGCTCGTGGAAGAAGATCAAGTACAACACTCGGTAAACTGGGTGTCTTTGCTCCTACGACACAAAAACAGATCTGACCTGCCAGTTGTTTTGTTATAGTTTGATTTTTTTTTTTTTCATCGTCAGGAAGGAGATGAAGCTGACGCAGACGAAGCTGCCGATAAACTTGTAACGTCTCACCCCGACGCTGACACCACCATCATTTTCACAACAGGCGAAGGTTTGTCAAGATTTACAAAACTACAATGATGTTTGTTTGTTTGTTTGTTAAAATGTTGAAAACCTATTTGTGGTTTTATCTGTTTATTTTAATGTGCTTTGTATTTGCAACTTGTTTAGAGTTTCCTGCCAATGAAATCGTGAAGTTTCTTGTGGGTTTCACCAACAAGGGTAGCCAGGATTTTACTGTTCAGTCACTGGAGGCCTCCTTCCGTTACCCTCAAGATTTCCAGTTCTTCATCCAGAATGTAAGTGAGATAACCAATAATACATTTAGATTTTGAGAAAACTTCTTATTTAATTCTACTAGAGCCGGGTTTTGTATTTTTATTATCAGCCTGCCAGTGTGTTTTGTTCATTGGCCTCAGCTCATTTGTTTTGTATTTTGTAGTTCACAGCGTTGCCCCTGAACATGGTGGTCCAGCCCCAGGCTCAGGCCTCCTTCGAGTACTCCTTCATCCCAGCTCAACCCATGGCTGGACGTCCCTTCGGCCTCGTCATCCTCCTCAGTTACCTGGACACGGAGGTAAATAAAAAAATGTTGTGCTCATTTAGAGTTTCAAAACAAAACCTTTTGGGGCAGAAATGAAATAAAATATTCATGACTGTACTTTCTGTTAGTGTAGAATCACATGGGAGGGGTTTATTTAGAACAAGTAAAGTCTGTTGATCACACAGGTTTTCCTCTATTTAATATAGTTTTTTGTAGAGCTRGGGTATCGTAGCAATTCCCTAAGTTGATTCGATTTCGATTCATAAGGTTCTGAATCGATTAATCACGATTCGATTTGATCTGCTCTTAAATAATGAAAATGTTTCAGCTGTCTTGCAGAATACAATATTGTTTTATGTTTTCTCTGCACCATAAACAGCAGGTTGTAATTTGGACAGTTTAATCTTGAAAGAAAACAGTTTCAAATTCCAAAAGTTTTAAATTAAAAATGAATTTCAAGTGACTGTGCTGTTGTATACGTTCATTTTAAAGAAATTAAGAATAATTTTCTTGATGAATAAGAAGCGATGGGAATAAGTTTGCATTGCTTATATAAGAGTATACTTCTGTCTACTCCCTTTGAGCATATGAAAATTGTACATTTGTAATGTTTCTGTTATGTTCAATAAACATTATTAAAACAAAAATAGAAAAAAAGGGTCCTTCAGCTACAATGTTCCATCACTGTGGATTTCATCAAGACGTTTCTTAAAGTTTAAAAATAATAGTGGTAACAAAACTAAAAAAAAAAAGTTGTTAGAATGTCGTCTTCCGTGCGTTTATACATGCCAGGGAGAACAGATGTTTACATACTGTTGTTTTGGTTCGAGCACCTGAACGAGCCGCTCAAAGCCCACTTCGTTTTCCTCTACGAGAGCAAATCTTTACAGACAAAAGTTGCCCTGGCCTCTGTTATCTTTAAGTTCTGCAGAGAGTCGGCTGGTAACGTTACTGATTCCTTAGTTTATTCTGTTTTGCCCCAGATAACTTGCCGTCAGAAGCTAACTTTAACACTGAACTGGATGTAAAATATACGGCAAGCCAGGAGTGACACAAAATGTAGAAACGGCCCTCAGCTTCATCACGCACAAGACGCCATCGATCTCATGTCCTACGAATCAATTTTCCCAAATTTAAATGAAATCAATCCAAGATTTGATTAAATTGATTTTTTTTTTGTTTCCCAGCCCTACTTTATGTATTCAAGTTTCTACAAAGAGGAGAAATCAAACATTGTCTTTAAAATAGTTCTAACACTTTGTACATCTTAACATTTATTTATGTAAACCTCACACACAAAAAAAATGTTTTGGATTTAAATCAGCATCTTTGCCACCAGATATCACTAAATACAATGTGATGTGATTTTAAAAAATATATCTGGATGATCATTTCACATAAAAACAACTTTTTAAAGTAAACATGAAATTTCAGGACCTGAAGAAACCTTTAAGGCAAAGTGGTAGCTTTTTGAACCACTTTGGTTTGGAGAAACAGAGTTTATAATGCTTCAAATTCGTAGTGTATAAGTATATAATATGAAGGTTTTTGGCCTCACCAGGTAATATTAGCTTGGTGTTGTGCTGTGTTTTTGTATACTTGATGTTAGATTGAATCTAAATTAATGTATAAAAGGTCTGATTGAGAAGTTTCTTGGTATAATTTTATAATTCAGATCATGAAGAAGGTTTTAAATGTTTCAAATTCATTTTCAATAATAACAGTCTTTGTTCTCGTTCAAATATATGATCAAGAGTGCACTGAAAATAAAGGAGCAACAACTGTTTAGTCTTTATGAATGTTAAGTACCTAAAAATCATGGTTCTGTTTGATGTTATCCTATTCAGACAGCAGAGGGAGCTAAATAAGTAATTTATTCTTGTCTCTTCCTCTTTAACAGGCTTCAGGTCCAAAGCATTCTCAGTTATTAACATCATTAATATTAATATTGTGTTTTTATGCTCATGTGCCTGTGTGCCAGAAAAGCAGGAACCAGTGGACTCATTTTAACTAAACTCACAGAAAGTAAACAAGTGATTTCTTTTTTCTGAATAAAATACCAAAATGACAATAAGATGATTTAACTAAGGTCTACTGATAATAAATAAATGATGTGAATGGGTAGGTCTAACAATAAAAATATTATGCAATATCCCTTTATTTTATTTAATGTATTATGTTCAGATGTAACTTTTACTCAGACCTGTTTTTGAAAGATTTGTCCTTAAAGTATCCATGACTCAAATGTTTTTGTGAACATAGGACTTTCATGCTTGCAAACATTTTATTTATTTATTTGTTTTTATCAGGGCAACACGTTCCAAACTGCTGTTTACAAYGAGACTGTCACCATCATCGAACGAGAGGAGGGACTGGATGGAGAAACGTGAGACTCTGTCATATCCTGTTATATGCACACCCACAAAACTGAAAATGCAGATGAAGCAGGTTCTCGTCTGCAAACTGCAAAAACTGTTCTGTGCAAAAATGTTAGGAAGACCACAAGCAGCAGCAGCACTGCTGTAAAAACAGTCTGAATCACAGCGATCAGCAGCTGCATGAAGCTGGAATAAGCCAGCTCTGCTTCACAGGAAGCGAGCTCTCCCAAACTAAAAAAAAAACAAAAAACACAAAAACAAGCTGTAAGAGGAGGTGTGAAACTGACACAAAGAAATCATCTGTGTTTGAGCTACAAAATAAAAAATACTAAACACTGTCTTTATGCAGGAAAAAATGCTGTGTGAACCCTGAATCACAATGTTGAAGAAGCTAAAACTGAATTGTCAAAACTAAAAGAAACAGAAAACCAGCCAAAAGCTAAAAAGAGTAAAAAAAAAACTTGCTAAAATAAACATTATGTTAATTATAGGGTGCAAATTGTTAGCTAAAAGGAGCAAAAAGCTGGCTAAATGCTAAAAAGAGAAAAGGTTTAGCTAAATCCTTAAAGGAGCAAAATGCTAACTATAAGGTGCAAAATGTTAGCTTAAAGGAGTCAAATGAAATAGCTAAAAGGAGCAAAATTCTGGCCATAGGCTGAAGAAGGAAAAAAATCTAGGTTAAAGCTGAAAGAAGCATAATATTAAATAAAAATAGCAGAACATTAGCTGTAAAATTAATATTAACTAAAAGCTAAAAGAAGCAAAAGAATATTAAACTATGGTTAGTTAGCTGAAGCAGACTTTTTTAAAGAACAATTTGTTTTGTTTTAATTGAAGAGATGTTAATGTATTTCTGTGTTTCAATATTTGCAAATCAAGTTAAATGTTTTGGAAAATACAAAAGTTATAAAAACCAAAAGCTGTAAACCACTTCCTGGATGAATGTTTTTATATTAATGGATAAAATAGCACAGTATGATGAAACTGACTGCAAAACTGTACTGAAAAATAAAAACAAGGAATTTCTGAAATGCATTCATTATACATTTATGAAAACTGTTGGGGTTTTTTTTAAATCACTAAACAAATAAGATTTATTATATTAGTTCTCATGATGAAACTTTAAAATTTAAAAAATAAACTTTAGTTTATAAAAACTTTTTATTTTCTGTGGGTTAATTTGAGGGTTATAAGTAAAGTTTTTTTTGTTTTGTTTTGTTTTTTAGGATGTTCATGTACGTGTTTCTGGCTGGACTGGTGGCACTGGCGCTGTTTGGGTTGTACCAGGTTCTGGAGTCAAGAACGGTATGATTTCAGATGAATACCTGTTTGTTTTATCAATGCATAAACTACATGCATAAATATTTCTTTTCAAAAGTGTTAAAGCTACAGTTCAGATCTTTTGAAGTGGAGTTCTGTGGAAAGGTTATATTATTAGCACTTCAGTCTGTTCAAAATAAACTCAAATGAAATCTATTTTGTTTTGATGTGTTTATTCTGCAGAGAAAGAGGATTTCTGTGAAAATAGAGAAAGGCACAGTTGGAATAAATGATGTGGACATGAGCTGGATTCCTCAGGAGACTCTGAATACCATGAGTATGTTCATTTTACCACAACTTCCTTCTTTAACTCTTTGACTCTACATCGGCTTGTTTTTGTTCAATTCGGGGCTCTTACTCTTACTTTTGTCTCTTACAGACAAGGCCTCACCTAAAACATCCCCGAGGAAACGAACCAAAAGGGCGGCTGGCACAGACCAGTAAGCTTCAAACCTTCATCATACAGACGATCAAATCTTCGTGATGCGGCGTCCCAGTTCCATTTCACGAGGGAACGCTAGTTTTGGAATTCAATTTTTCTCCTAAGAAGTGGTTTTCAGATGAGTTTCTGCCTGTTGGACGTGTTGGACTTTGTGTTTCTTCTTAGACTGAGGTCAATTAAACACTAACAGGAGTAAACTGTTAACTTGGTTTTAACGTTTTTAAATGTGTATGAAAGATTAAAAAAACACACTAATTAGAGTTGGTAAAGATCTGCAAACTGCCATATGAATGCTGTGAAGTCAGTATTGTATTTTAGTCGTAGATCATTTTACTTGAAGGTTTGTCATCTGTATTAAAAAGAGAAAATGAATTCTATGACGAAACATAAAGTATTTCATTAGTGAAACATTTTCCTCCATCTTATCACCACTGTGCCTAATAGTGTAATTACTGGCTCTGCTAAGACATGACGTCATCAAATTAAAGATTTGTCCTTTTGTCAGCATGAGGTTGAAATAATTTTCTAATGAGGAAATGGCAGCTTCAACCTTCAACATAATGTTCTCAGGTTTTCTGCAGGCTTGTTTATCTGCTTCTTCCCCTTTTGGAGGCAATTTTAAGCACTTMAGCCTTGTTACACGGTGGTACTGGAGCAGGTTGTTTGCTATTTTCTAAAAAAAAAAACACATTTTGGAAAAAGCAATAAAATGATGAATTAAAAAGTACTTTTGTTTGCTGTTTTCTCCAAACGTTTCTCTCTGCATTGATGGTTCTGTTGAGTGTGTTCTAACAGCTTCCTGTAAGGCCATTTCAGTCCACCATCACATCAGTAGATGGGATCTCTTCAGCTGAAAGGTTTAAAAAGCAAAATGTCATTACTGGCCATGTTAATTACAGAAATGTGATTTTAAAAAATAAATTCTTCATTTGGTGTAAAGGTTTTATCTAAGTCRTTTTGTGCCTTTTGAGGTACAGCATAAGCAAAATGTTTAATTTAGACAAACATTTGTATTAAATCTTRTGCAGTTGTTCCACTGCTGAGGAAAACAGAATTATCACCTTTAAGTAAAGAATATGAAATAAAACTCTTAAACTCTCTTATTTGTGCAGTACACACCAATTATAACTGTGGTCAAGAGTATTTTTAAATGCTGCAATTTTTTTTCTTTGTGATCACATCATTGATTCATGTGTTCACAGCCAGCAGCTGTGAAAGGATGATAATTTTTTTTTACCCTGTTAGCAGATTTTAATGAAACCCTCAAAGTAATTATAATTTCTACAACAGCTAATCAGTTGCTGGCCCGTTGGTGACTTCAGTCTAATAAGTTTTGCATTTTTTTAACTTCGTTTAATATAAACAGAGATTTGAATAAATTTTTAATGTATGATTTAATGCATCAAAATTTAGGTTTGAATGGTAAACAATACTTCCATAATACAGTATATCCCATACCATAATTCAACAATGYCACCCTGAGCAATTTAGTAGCCCTGATCTACAACAACTAATAAACCTTTGCAATCTGCCATATTCAAGATGGCCGCCACAGCCAAGTGGCCTTTGGAATCAAAACAAAGCTATGACTCTGTCAGATTCACAGATACGGAACTAGAATTTGGCGTGGCAGTACCTGGGAGTCATTTACAGCAGTGGTTCCCAAACCTTTTATCTTCTGACCCACAAAATATCCATGGCAAAAACTTTTGACCCCAAATAATTACTGGTCTGAGTACACAAACTTTGTTAATAACCCTAAAAACACAGACTTTTTTTGAAAATCTAAACAGCTTGTACATAAATATAAATACATATTTATACTTATTTAGTGTTTTTGTAATAATTAGAGAGAAAATATTACATCAGCAATTATTTTATTACACTTTAAATTGATTTCTGGAGATTATCCAAGGTGCTTCATGACCCATAATTGGGTCCCAAGCCAAACTTTGGGAACCAAAGTGCAGTGGTTCCCAAACTTTCCAGCATTTGACCCACAAAATAACAGTAACAGAGACCTGTGCCCCCAGTTATTTTTGAATGATAAACATTTGTATCAGGTCAGCTAAACATGGGCATAGTAACAATATTATTATACTACATTTATCCATTTTAAATATACTAAGCCAATTCATTTGAAACAACTAAGGCAAAAATGTAATTAATTCAGAAAATCTTGTCAGGACCCCACTTTGATGTTTCAGGACTCTGGGTCCCGACCCCAACTTTGCAAGTACACTTCGCTGCAGCATGCTGCAGCGAAGTGTACTTGCAACTTTGGGAAACACTGATTTACAGAACAGACAATAACAGAGCAGTCAAGCTGGAACCAGAAAGTTAGAGTTTCAATTCCTCACCATGTGTCCTTGAGCAAGACACTTGAGTGTATCTCATCTGTGATGGGTCAAATGTTGTCATTGTATGGAAACAAATTAAAGGCACAGTGTGTAGGATTTGGTCAATTCTTTTAGCCGAAATTGAGACAATCACTAATGACAATAAAAAAAAAAAACATGTCTAATTATTGCAGACAAAGACCTTGTTTTATTATTTTTACCTTATAAAAAGCTGTTTACATCTCCATGGTCACGGGTCGCCACTAAAGGCAGCCACCATATTGCACCGCCATCTTGTCTACGAAGGCTCATGAAGGACAAACTGCGGTGGCGGCGTCAAAAACGGTTTTAGTTGTAATACTATAAATGTAATATTTGTTGTCTGTCATTGTAGCTGGGATAAGTTTACTTATTAAAGCTCATAATCTTACCACTTGAAACATCACTAGCCCTGAAGCTGCTGGTAGACATCGCGGTTGGAATTATCAAAGG